AAGAGAAAATCTTTTCATGTTTAGCATAGATACTTTTTCTTTTCTTTTTCTTTTCTCTTTTTAACATTTTTCCATCCACAGTTGAATCTGCTGATGTAGAACATATGGATATGGATAGAGAGGGCTGGTTGTGTGACATTTTATCCTACTTGTACCTTTTATGTTTGAAAAGCAGAATTTTTTTGATCTTTTTGAAACAGGGTCTCTCTGTAGCCCCAGCTGCCATGAAACTCACTATGTAGACCAGGCTGGACTTGAACTCACAGAGATCCGCCTGCCTCTGCCTCCCTAGTGCTGGGACTAAAGGCATGTGCCACCGCGCCCAGCTGAAAAGTAGAATTTATAAACTAAAACTAAAGCAATTGTTGTTTTATGTTTTGAATTTAGTGGAGTAAGTTTAATCTAATTACAATGCTATCACTTGTATTACTACTCAGACACTTATGAAAAAAATCTTATTTTTCAATAAATTAAAGTCTATGCAAATAGAGTTTCAGTTTTATCAGGTGAAGAGTTACAGACATGGATAGTGGTGGCAATTGCTTGATGGTATGAATATTCAGTTCCATTGTATTCTTAGAAGTGGTTAAGTTGGTAAATTCATATGTGTAATTTACCACAGTTTTAAAAAAATGAAAAAAAGAAAATCATCAGTGTGACACCTGCTCAAGCTAGGCTGCCAGCTGTTAGGGTATGAGGTCCAGCATTGGAACAGGAAGTGTGTTATATCCTAAACTTTCAAAGTGTGATCTTTTGCTCCGTGTGGTGGCACACACCTTTACTCCCAGCACTGGGAGGCAAAGGCAGGCATATCACTGAGTTCAGAACCAGCCTGGTCTATATAGTGAGTTCCAGGCCAGCTGAGGCTATAGGGAGACTCTGTCTCAAGAAAAAAAAAAAAGATCAAAGTGTGATCTTTTGCTGGGTGTAGCTCACACTTGTAATCCTAACACTCAGGGAGGCTGAGACAGGAGGATTGTGATGAGTTTAAGGCTAGCCTACAGCTATATAGAGTTTTAGGCCAGCCTAGGCTACAGAGTGAGACCCTATCTAAAAAACAAAAGTGTGACCTTTTGTAAACTGCATTCATTCCTCACAATGAAGACATGAAGCCCAAATCCATAAAATGATCTTACCATTTTATATGTAGCAGAGAGATTTCCAAAAACTTCTTCCTATTACTTCGAAGTCTTTGTAAGTTTCTTCATTATCTGAGCTTCATCCAGCTTCATCTTTACTTTTAGTACCCATTACTTTTGTGTGTGTGTGTGGTATATGCACATGCGTGTGTGCTGGTGTGTGTGCTATCTGCATGCATGCAGAGGCCAGAGAGGGACATTTGGAATCTTCTTTATCACTTTCCACCAGATTTTTTGAGACTGGACCTCTCACCCATTAATTGATTGATTGATTGATTGATTGATGATTGATTCCTTCCTTTTTTGAAGATTTATTTTATGGGTGGGTGTGGTGGCGCATGCCTTTAGTCTCAGAACTTGGGAGGCAGAGACAGGCAGAACTCTGTGAGTTCAAGGCCAGCCTGGTCTACATACCAAGTTCCAGGCCAGTTGGGGCTATAGGGAGACTCTGTCTCAAAAAGACAAAAAAAAAAAAAAAAAGATTTATTTTGTGTGTATGGGTGTTTGCCTGTGTGTATGTAAGTGTATAAATATACCCATGTTGTGCCATGCCCATGGAGACCAGAAGGAGTTGGAGCCCTTAAAACCGGAGTTACAGAAAGTTGTTAGCCACCATATGGGTTTTGGGAATCAAACCCAGGTCCTCTGCAAGAGCAGCTAGTGCTCTTAACTGCTGAGCTGTTTTGCAGCTCCTGTTTTCTTTCTCTTGACCTTGAAAGTTGAATAATTTCTTGAGGTTCTAGGAAAAACATACATCTGATGCCCCTTTTGTGGGGCTAGTCCATCTTGTTCTATATCACTAGCCTTTTAGAGAACCCAGGCTTGGTTTATTAGCCCTCCTTAATGAGAACAGCTTTTCCGTGCAGTGCTGTTGGGAAAATGGCTCTGTCTTACCATGCATTTGCCCAAAGTGCTGTGGTTCAGGCCCAGTTTGCCAGGGTCAGACTTTACTTGTCACTTAACACCAGTACCAGCTATCCCAATGTTTCACTACAGGTTACTGGTTTCTGTGAAGAGATTTGGATGGCACATGAGGGCTCTGCTCTTTATATATATA